TAACCTGCAATTTGCCAAAGGCTAATGACTTTCAAAAGAGGCCTTGTTTGCTCAGAACTTTGTCATTTTTTGCACATGCCATCTAGTCTTACAAAAAAATATGGTAGAACTCGCTGAAAGATTTGCTTCTATTGGCTTTTTCACAATTATCAAAATCCTAACACAAACTATTTTATCAAGAAAAGAAAAGTGCATTATTGCAGCTAATGGATTAAATATTTACAAACTGAAAGCCTTTAGAATTGTGGACAAAACCAACTGAAATAAATGGAAAAATTGTCATTTAAATACACTTTATTTCAAGTCTTTGATTGAGGTGACAAAATTTCTTCCTAAGATGTTCTGTCACATCATTGAGCAACAACAAAATGGGTCCTTAATGAATGCTATTTATATAGACTTTCTGGCTGTCCTATAGTCTGTTAGGTATTTCTACAGGAACCAGATATTTCCAGAGTCTGTTTTCATGTGCTTTATCAAAAGAACAGCAAACTCAGTTGTTCTCTTTTTTACAGTTGTTTAACACACACATATCCATTAAATAATCGGATTTTTTTTTTTTTTTAATAAATTTGCCTTAGACTTATAGGAATTTGTGAACAATGTCACTGAATAGTTTCATTTTATTTTTTTTTTTTTAATCTTTCCTACAGTCTGATTGCAGTTGAAAACTAAAAGAAAGAGAAAAAAAATATTTTATGTATCAAATTCCTGGTTCTTCAAACCATAGTAGATACCTTCTTGGATTACCAGCCTGATATTCACATATAAATTAACACTCACAAGAACACTTTGGTAAAAGGAAATGTGTATAGACAAGCAAATTCTTCTCAAGACGAAGGTATCTCAAATCAACTTGATAAAACAGCATGTTTGGATTCTCTATAAAGGGAATGAATTATTAGTTTACATTCTCCTGTCACTAGGTATCTCTCCTTGCTCTTTGATGCTCACAATTGGTTATTTCCCTGAGGCACTACAGTGATGCATTTACATGTCATCACATTCCTTGCTGTGTTGAATTGTCAGTCCCAGATTCAACACTACAAGCTGACGTAGAAATTCAAGCACTTCTGAGGGCCGACAACTTCTAACATACAAATATCCTGCACTACTCTCAAGTCAGTGTATGTTTTAGTCTGCTAAATAAAAATACAACTACAATTCCTATTAGGCAAAGGTAAAGGAAGAGAAAGAGGGAGAGTGTTTTCCTCAATTTCACCAAATGCATACAGTAGAATACTGACAAGATCATAACTACAACTTTTCATGACCTCTTCATTTCTTTCCTTTAGCTAGACAGCTGCCTATTTTGGCACCATAAGCCACTGAGACAGAACAAGTCTTACACCCTGGTCACAGGTCTTCATGTTAGGGCAGTTTCTAGTGGTATGAATACAGATCTAAGTAGACAATGGTGGATAAATTACTCTGCCAGAGATACTTCCCTTTGGATTTAGTACAGAGAAGGAAATAGTTACTGCTCCTTAAATTTATCTATTCTCATCTGTAAGATGTGTATGAATCTGGGGATTCCCTACATTCCTCTGTCTACAACCAAGTGACACCCAGCACCATAGTGAGCATCGCATTAAAGAAATTTCTGCACCCTCACATAACAGCAGCTGTATTGGGGCAGACCTAAAGTCCATCTTGCCTTCATAAGCACCTATAGATGGCTGTCTGAAGAAGAACACCAAAACAGCTGATATCTCCTGCTAGTGATCTCTGAGTCTTTAACTATTTTCCACTAACTATTCCTTCAGTCAGACATAATAGAATCATAGAATGGCCTGGGTTAAAAACACATAGTTTCCATTATTTACCAATCATTAATGGATTTACCTTCCTAAATCTTATCCAATCTGCTCCTGAATTTATACATTCTTAGCATAGCCAAAATCCTTCAGCAAGGGCTTCAGAATCTCGGATATCAATAACTCAAGTAACCCATGGGGAAAATCTTCTGTTTCTTGTAAACGTAGCTCCTGCTCCTAACTAGCGGCCCAGGAAGAGTGGCTGCTGTAACTCCTCATGATGAGCAGTCTGTGCTGCTTTTATGTTGAGAACCCAGACACAGCTAGTAATAGGAAAGATTTTTAAATTACTATTTCAAAGTATTTTCAAAGGCTTCCCGATGATACAGCCTTACAGTCATGAAAGTATTAATTTCATAAATTTGACTTCTTCAGACCACTTGCAATTTAAACCAGTAACTGCTTAGGAGAAAAAATAAAAGATCCCCTGGCATTTCACCACACTCAAGAACCTAAGGGAATTTTTAAAAAATTGCAACATGCCATTGGTGACAGAAGGAGCACCAGAGAGAACGTAGATGGTCTGGCCAAATAGGGCCACCACAGAAAGAGGTGAAACATGAAGCAATTAAAAAAAAAAAAAAAAAAAAAAAAGTAATTCTGAAGGCAAATGCCAGTCCAAAAGAGATGTTGAGTTGCCTTATTATCTTAAGATGTTTTCTCAAGAGGATTTGTTGCAAGTCTGACAACTGCAAATGAGTTATAGAAAAGAACAGTCAGAATGATAATCATACCCACAACCCAAGAGTACAACGTAGCATAGCACTCTGTCACTGACAACCTCTAGTTTCTTACCCTGACTTTAAATGCAGCTGATGCGGGACTATTATTTCTATGGATGAGGAACTTCATAACAGGAAACGTATACTTCTAAAGCTGACCTATCAATCGACAGATGTAAGCAGCAGAACAAAACAAAACAAAGAAGTTGCTGGGTATGAAAAACCAACAAGTTCAGCCCATTAACTGTGTCAGGGAGCCCAAATGAACACAGAATGAAGCAGAGTCTGTGTGCTGAAGGCCACCTCCACTTCGGAGGCCAAAAAAATAATGTCTCTGAGCTCTAAAGGCTTTCTAATCCCAATCTGTTTGGCTTGTCCTTATCTTTTGTTTGGAGACAAAGATATTTTGTGGACTAACAACACAGAACCTTCTGTGGCAATCTCGAGCTTGGGGGAAAGGATCAAAGGTTGTTGGAAGAAATGATCAAAAGCCCTTGATATATTTAATTCTATTCCTGTGCTGTTCCTTTAATTGCATTTCTATTCCAGACAGCCTTAGTAACTACAGAGACAAAAAGCTTATAAGCTTGTAGCTCCCTATGGATACGGACTGCTGCTTGAAAACCTCAGTGAACTTGGAGTTTTTACTCCAAATTTGAAGTATTTCTGCTTTTAGGCACAGAAGAAATCTGGCAGACAAAAAAGTACATTTAGCAAGAACAAGATATTTTAATTTGAATAAACAAATGCCTAATGGATAGGGAAGAGCAAGAAGATGGGAGAGGGATATTAACCTGCGATGGCTGGAAGCACCTGAAAATTGCTAGAAGATATAAATAGCTGTGGTGGAAAGGATGCTAGAAGATAGCAGATTTGCAGGAGATGCTTACTTATGGAAGGATTTTCAAACAAGAGTATGAGGCATCTGTGAATACAGTAATTTTCTGGGTACTGTGTGTAAACTAAGTGGCACAGACACAGAACATAACAGCTCACAAATTTTGCAAAATGCAGTAGAGCAGCCAGCCTTTTCTTTAAAAGCATCACATCTGTGTGGGAGACAGAAGGATGTGTCATATCCCCTTTATTTTAACTTGACTAAAGAAGAAAGATTTCTAGACCTTCAATCTAGCATTAACTGAATGAAGTATTGTGACTTTAATTGCTTAGGGCTTTGTCACGCCTAGACAGTACCCAAAAGAGAAAAAGTACATTTAAAGTTTTTCTTTCCCCTTTTAGGAAGGCCTCCATATTATCCACCTGGCAAAATAAAACAACCAGCTATTTAATGACCTAAGAAACAGGCCAAGTCTCTTTTCTCCCCTTTGAAAGTAAGCTGAGAGGCAGAGCAATTTAACGCAGTTCATAAGATTTATACCTTAGAGTCCTGAGTCAGAGCAATCAAACTTGAGTTATTAAAGAAAGGTCTCAGTCTCATGCTAGGGGAGCATCCTGGAGACAATCTCAACAGCCAGCAACGTGATGCAGGACTTCTTACCTATCCACGTTCTGTTGTCTGTTTCCTTGTATATTCAGTCTAGCCCTAGGCAGGGAAAGTGAGTAAGGTAAGGATTTCTCTTGGACTTCTGGTTTGCTTTTTTGCACCTTCAATCTGTTCACACACCTTACTACAAACCAGAAAATGTAATGAAAGCCAGAAGTACTTTTGATTCAGTATTCTCCAAAGATGCAGTATTAGCCAAAGGTTTGATTGCAAACATGGCGAAGGAGTAAGGATTAAGCAAAATAAAGAAATGAATTATTTAATATTTCTGAACACTGCCCAAGAGCGTACTGCTTTCTGTAATTACAATATGAAAGGTTTATTTTGCTTACATTATATTTAAATAAATTTGTAACTTTGGAAACTATTAGGTGTGAGTTACTTGTACACCTTATCTTAGCAGCCTGGATAAGACTAATTCCTTTTGCTTTAGCTCTGCTCACATTTAGAGACATAAGAAACAGGTGAATGGTTTTAAGAATTGTTAATAATACGCTAAATATAAGGGTTGTTATAAAGGAAAATATTTTTCTTAGTAAGAAAAACAATCTTTTGTCTCTGTAATACCAAATGAAATAGCAGAATAAAACTTTGCTTCTAGTGTACACAATAGAGATGGGGAATGGCTCAGAAAATAAGATTTTATCTGTTACTCAGACAAAAATCTCTGTTACCTCTCATGCCATCAGAAAGACATATTTTCATCTTGCAGAAGTAAAAAGTTTTTCCAAACAAATTCTAATATACTTGCAAAGTCAGAGAAACTCATTAATTTACACATGTATCTTTTAACATGTCCAACAGCAGTCAGAGCTAGATGACTGCTAGCATCAGCAATACTATTTTAACAAAGTAAATATGCAGTAGCTATCTAAATCTGAACTCCATTCATTCAATACAGCCAGCAGCACCAACAGCAGGGAAGTTAGAAGGAAAGTAAACAGCACTGTCTCTTACCACAGTATAGATCTGAGGTTTGCGCCTTTTTGCCAGGTCAATTATATTGACTCCATTGTAATAGAGGTTCTCAATGCAGCCATGGAAGTTTTTCCTCTGAAAGGTTCCTGGTTTCCCTGGGACAGGAATGCCTCCAAAGCTGAGCTTTTGGAAAGAACAAGAGCAGCATTTAATTACCACACCGAAAGCTCCATACAGACAATTGGGTTATTATCTCAGAGACAAATCATGTTTACAGCATCACATCTGAGCACAGAGTAGAGCACATGCTGCTCAGCATGGGAATTACACAGTGTAGCATTACAGCTGTTTGAGAAACACTGCTACCGCAGTGAGCTCTCTCATTTGCAAAAGGCTTTCATGTGCCATTATGCAGCATCTCATCAACTAGTCCTCCACCAGGAACACTCAGACTCCAAGCCCCTCTGACCAGGGGACTGAGCAGCAAAGCACAGCAGCCAGGAAACACAATAGGAGGCTGAAGAAATAGGGAAATAAAATTCCCACAGTGCAATGGAAGTACCTGTGAACTGGAGTCACATCTTTCCATCCACTGAGTATTTGAACAGTTCTTGCTTCAGCCCACAGACTACCCCATGTACATCTTGCAAATGTTTTGCCTCAAATTTCACTGTGGTTTGGGCTTGCACACAGTATTTGAGAGTGAGCAGTGTAATGGAAAAGTACTGCAGGTTACGCATTCAAACAAAAGTTAAGATTTTTTATTTTTTAAGTACTGGAATATGTTAGTATTACACAGGTAACAACTAATCACTTTAGAGGAGGGCTAAAACTTTACAGGGAACAGAGAAAGTAAGTCAATAAAGCTTTAAAAATCCTTGGAACACAATCCCATTATGTTTCTAAAGAAAATTGAAAATAATTATTTGTACTATTCGTGAATCTATAAACGTGATCATTCATATATTGAACACAATTGGACTTCCTGTGCCAAACTGGGCATCACTCAAAACGTTGCCCTTTAACACAACACCAACTCCAAGCCTAAAACTTCCGTTAAGCATATTTCCATTTTCCAGACACACAGTTCATTTCTAATTAGCTTTTTTTGCAAAATCTTATTGTCTACACCTCTCATTTTTTTTCTTGTTTGTTTTTTTCTTTCCCTTCATTTTCCCCTTGCAGGAAGCAGCTTCATAAATGATACAATGCAAGAGAGGATTCTGCAGCTCCCACACTTCTTAGTGTTTTCAGCATGTTGGGAGCTATGCTCCAAGCCTACTGTATCGATCTCAGCACAGCAGTGCTGTGAGGCACCACAGATGCTGATGGCTGCTGGAACCTGGTCAACCTTATTCCTTGGTTGCTACTCCTAATGCCTCAGCTCATTATTACAAAAGTAAAGGGAAATTTGGGGATTATTTTTCCTCTCACTCCATCTAGCAAGCCAGGACACATGAGCAAGTTAAATCTCCCTGGATAACCTTGATAGCACTTATTTGAAAACAAGTCCTTAATGAACATGTGCCTCAGTTGTATTAATTGATAATTTTGCAGAAATAAAGAGTGAACAGACAGCTACTTTGCATCACTTGCAAATTTGTTATTGGCATGCAAGCCTATGCTATAAGCAATGTTTTTTTTCCAGAGAGAAACATTAGTTCTTTCTTAAAGCACCATACTTTCCTTCTTTCATGTTCTTCTGTTCTTTCCATCTGCTGTTTAGAGACTCCACATTGGGTTTCAAAACCAGAAGAAAAATCAATATTAATTACACCAGTGCATTATAAAGAAAATTGTTTTCTTTGTGATTGGTAATAATTTTAATTACCAAACTAATGGTTTTGTTACCCTCAGTAAGGCCTTTAATCCCCAAAGTGTGCTGAGATAAACTTTCATTAGAATATATTGGTGTCATGTTCAATTGAAAGACCATATCAGTGCAAATAGAAGAAAACACCTTGTATAAAATATTGAGCACCAGGGGCCAGGACTGAGTGCCACAGAGGTCAGTGCTGACATGGTGATTTATTTCTACTGAAGATCTTCACTATGCTTCCCATTTCAGAACATCTAGACAAATGTTCTGCCAATTACATTGGAGCCTGAGTTTTCCCAAGTTGGCATCAATCTTGCAGCAGAAAGCAAGAAATTTTATGATTTTTGAATTAGAAAAGCTGATGACTTAACTGTTTGGTCTTCCCAACTTCACCTTAAAAACAGATACAGCTTTGACTCTGGTTAGTGTTGTCTGTAGCTGTTTCAAAATCTTACTACCCAAATGGTTAGTTAACAGAGATGGGTACTACTTTCCTCACTATGCTTTGTGAAATGCAAGGAGGGGAAATTCAGCTGGAACATGAGAGGAGCAGAGTACCTGCCACTACTGAGCCATCCACATTTGTCACTAACATGCACTGGGAATTGATCCTTTGTAGAGAAATGAATTCAAAGTGCAGAGAGGAAGCTTCTGGTCTCGGAGAAATGAACCATGACACCTCAACAGATCCAGGCAGGGTGATGGCTCTGACTGTGTAAGCATGACCTTGAGGGCTAACAAAGCTTGGTAGACAAGCACATGGGGATAAAAATGAACATGTATAATTTGCACGTAGGTGTGTATAAGTGGAAAGAGCAGATGATGAACTGTCTTGCATATAGATATGATGTAGATTTAAGAGTGTTGCTGTTTTTTATTTTCTAGTTATTTTTCACTATGAACCATAAGCACTGAATTGCTGCTCTCTGCCAAACTTTGGCCTCATCACAGAGGAGTACAACTGGGTTTGATGGGAAGGACGTTTCTTCTGTTCACCCGTATGTTCAGAATCACACCCCTAAATATGAAGGGGCCTGGGTCACAGCCAGATCTTTCAATGGCTTTTGTAAGGGCCTCCCACTTCTACAAGGAAGGGGGTAGTCTCTACCTGCTCATCTCTACATAGAATCATTTGAGTATGCTGGTGGCACAGCTCGGAGCCAGAATTCCCCTAGTCATGTCAGTCAGATAGAGGATGCAGAGATAGCGCTCAATGGTCCTATTAAAATAATATTGGAGATGGTGTCACAGAATCTCTTTCTGCATACAAGAGTTCTCCCTGGAGATTTGGCCAGAAGCCAGATCCCCACCAAGGCAGATATACAGATTTAGATCAAATTCTCGCTTAATTTTAATATAATCATAATCCAGTATGTATTTGCCAACAGACTGTTTATTTACTAAGACTGTCACATGTAGAATTGCACTAATGTACTTTATGCTTGCTAAAGGAGCTTTCTGGGAAGGAAACATTAAATAAAGATCTCTGCTGGAAAGAAACAGCTTTGCTGAGTGGATGTTTTTCATCACATTCATTTTACACCCAGATTTTCATTAAAAGGGTTTCACGCACCTCATAATCAATATCTAAGTGATCCGAGTCCCCCTTCGTTCGAAAATGCTGAGTATGCTTGTCCACTGTGAAGTTCACCTGCTTGTTGAAGCGCTCTATGAGAACTGAGTGCCAGTGTTGGTCATCCAGGAGGCTGCCCAGGGTGATGGATGTGTGGCTGTTAGTGAAGTGCAGGTTGGAATCCCCTGAAGGGGAAGAAACAGGCATAAGACACCAGAGTAACCTCAATGCCCTTATCTAAAGAATTAGGGCTCAAGATGAGCTCATGTGCTACTAAAAACAAACCAGATCCTGTCCAGAAACAGATCTTTCACAAAGCTTCCCCCTTAGGTTCTTTGGGCCTCTCATTTATACCTGCATGTACACAGACATTTCTTTCCTTGGTGTCTTAAGAGCTCCCCTTTCTGTAGCACTAAAATCTACTGCCTATTCACACAAAAAAGCTACACCTGATGTCTCAGTTGCAACTATGTGTTTTTTTCGTATTTTAATGATAATATTGCATATGATTATTTTTGGAGGAAAAACAAGAAATACAATCACAAATCAGTGGAGAAACATAAATGCAAGGGTTTCATTTAGTTCAAAAAGATTCTTAAACCCATTCCAGATCTCCACAAGTTTAGATCAAGAATCATAAAAATATTTAGGCCCTAACCTCACTGATTTATATCACTCTTCTGTATTCTGGCTGGCTGTATGTCTAAACACTTAAATCAGAGGGTCTGAAAAGGAGTGTGTGTCCTTTTATATATCCCAGCAGAATAGAAAGAAGACCTGCTCCAAAACTGCCAATCAATGTGCAAGCACAATGAAGAACAGACATCAAAATCCTTGTCTGTGGCACATGAATGCACACAGAGAATATGAAATGACTAAAATCTGTTGATTTGGGGCTACTGCTGAAAGAAAATAACTTTTATCTGAGATGACGCATTCACAGAGTCTCTCCTGAGGAGATAGTAACAATATATTTAACTATATCTTATTCTTATCCCAGTATGAAACACTTGGGAGCAGAGGACAAATCAGTATGAGAAATGTGAGTTAGCAAGGACTGCTGAGACAATAACCATGGCTCTCCCACAACTGAAGCTAATTAAGATTTTTGCAATAAGGCTAGAGGATAGAGATTGATCACTCCTACTTACAGTTGCACCTGACATCAAAGTGCTTTAGTACATTCACCAGGAAAAAGCAAATGCTCTTCTACAAAGAGAAACTAATCCAGTCTTTCATCTGCCCCTGCAACCCAACATGATCACATGGTGATAGTCTTCCAGATATTCACAGTACTCAACAGCAACCATCTCTAGAAACAATGCAATATCCAAATACACAATATTTTGATCAAAGATATTTCATTTCTGTGTTTTCTGCGAAGTTTTGATTACAAAACAGAAAAAAAAAAGACAATAAACTCTTTGAACTCCAAGCCATAGAATCACTACTGATCTGAGCTGAAGTTTCTAGTTTGTGCTTAATATAACAAAACAAACAAAGAAAAAACAACAACAACAACAAAAACTAAGGCAATCCTTGTTAGACTAATATGTGAACCAGCAAGCTTAATTGCTCTCACCCAGGTTGATGTGCAAGGAGAGCTTCCCCTTCTGTAGTTCCAGGGTAATATAGTCTCCTCGTTGTCCTTCTCCATGGAATAAGACTCCATCCTCCTGCATGCTCTTGAACTTTAAGGAAACCACATCTTTGAACGTGCTCATAAGCTTCTGATTGAACCTGTAGAGGAGGGAACTTCTGCCATCGAAGTCTGCAATATCTGACTCTGGAGAAAAGAAGATGACAAAATGAAGAGGAGACAGCATCAGGAGAAGGACCAAAATGATTCAGGATTGTTTCAATTACTGCTTGGACCTTGGTATTCTCAGAAGTGTAAATCCACAGGACATACATAGCAGCTGTGCTACCCGGGAACCATACAACATTTCATCCATTTACAAGCACTCTTGCTCTGCTTGGGAGAAAGGGAAACACTATGAAAAAACAGAAGTACTCTGCACCTTTCCTGCTCCTTCTCATGTGAGGTTTGTTTTGTCTCTTGACTTTTTAAAACAAACCTTCCTTTAGATTCAGAACTCCAGAGCATTCCTTGTCACATTTGTTGTTTGTCTCTTAAACACACCCAGGATATTATTCATTACTTTGAATTACATGAGCTCTCACTCAAGGTTTTGTACCTTCAGAAATGCCTGGTGAGATGTTTTTGCACGGCCATATCTGCATCTACCTTTGCATCCAAATAAGCACCAACTTAGCCTCTAGGGTTGGCTGCATGCATGCTTGTGATGGATTTTTATCAATCATATTTCTGCATGCAAATTGAGTATGCTGGCAGAACTGTTCAAATATCAATTCAAAAACTTTTGAAGGGATTTCGTGGGAACTGAGCACCTAAACTGATTACACACTTTTGAAAATCCTATTTGAAAACATACTTCCCTCTTCAGCTAACCTCTAAAACCCAATCACAGTGATGGGAAACAAACTATCAGCTCTTCAATTCCAATAAATATTTCCTTCAGCACAGAAGAATACAATACTCTATTTGCATAACAAAATGGTATGTTAAGTGAAATATGTTTTTGGAAAATTTTATTTTCTTTTTCTCCATATATAGCCAGAAAATTTGAGGTACTCTTAAATTAGGCATCATAGTGAAATATGACTGATATATGCAAGGACTGCTCCAAAACTAATGCCTCCTGTTTTATTACATTCGTACAAAACATCAGATGCAGATGTTGCTGATATGGCAGAAGAGGTTGAACCTTCCCTACTATATTCTTATTACATCTTATTGCTGTTCAACAGACAGCAACAACAGGTCAGACTGATAGAATGCTGTCTGACATGGAAGAGCATATGAAGCAAAGGTGTATCACTAAATTCCTCCAAAATGGCACCCACTAACTATTCATTGATGCTTGCTGAACGTTTATGAAGATCAAATAGTGGATGTCAGCAAAATGAAAATTGGACTGCATGGCCAACATTTTTCTAGCAATGAGGCTGTTACAGCAACTGTAAAACAGTTGGTCATCTCTGCTAGTGCACGTTTTTACATGGATGGCATGCAGCCTCTTGATCATCATTGATGAAAATGCATAGCTAATGGTTGTGACTATGTTGAAAGATAGCTGCAACAGTGTTTTGTAACTGAGAATTTGCTCTATCAAATAGCATTATTGTGCTCTTTGTATCCACTGTACTCTCCATGGAAACAAATAGGAAGCATTCCTTTCGGAGCAACCTACATAAATTCAGTTCTAAGTCTATCCAAATCTAGTTTGTTACAAATTACAAATGAAGTATCTACTTGTAAATTATAAATATGTAAATTCTGTAAATTAGTTTTTTCTTTGTTAAGAAAAATCTTAAAGGACATTAGAAGAAAAAAATCTGAACAATCATTTACCATGCTACAAAACTGCTGGGAATACATGTGTAAAGACAAAGAATATCTTTGCAGTAACAAAGAAGAAAAAATAAAGGCTATCTTTGTTTGCAAACCATGTTTTAATGATAACCTAAAGCAATCGGTTTTTTATTTTCTTTTAAAAATAACTTAAAGGTCCACATGTAAAATAATCAAGACTTCCAGGTCAGCAACTGTATTAAAGATGTTGATTTTAAGTCTTTTAAGCTCCTTTGAGAGTGCTTAAACTCCTCGGAGTTTAATGGTACTTTCATTTTTAGTAATGGTTTGTTTGAGTTTGGGATTTATTTTCCATTTTTCTTCTCCTTTTTTACATTTTAAACCAGACTAACATGTAAAGAGGTTTGTATTTAAAATCTTAACTCTAAGCTCTAACAATGTAACATAATTTCTAGAACAGTTCTGACCTCAACATTTACAAAGTACAGTACAACAGGAAATCTGCTTCTGGTAAGTGCTCCTTCACTCATTATCAGTTGTGAAGACACTAGCCAACAAATAACCCAGAATAAAATGTGAACATATCAAATATATGCTAATATTGGCATCCAGAATTCATTAGTGGCAGTTTATATGACAACAAATGATTGTCTTCCTATAAAAAACTGGAAGATCCAGGGCTAATACAGTAGTTACTGCAGAAAACTGGAGTGCTTGTATTTATTTAGAACACACATATGTTTGTAACTCACCTGTGAAAGAACTGGGTCTGTTTAGCCTGAGAAAAGATGACTGAGAGGGGATCTAATCCAGGTTTATAAATATCTGAGGTGTGGGGGCCATAGTGGTGAGGCCAGTCTCTTTTCAGTGGTATGTGGAGACAAGACAAGGGGAAACGGACATAAGCTGCAGCATAGGAAGTTCCACATGTATGTGCGCAAGAACTTCTTTATGGTGAGGGTAACAGAGCACTGGAACAGGCTGCCCAGGGGGGTTGTGGAGTTTCCTTCTCTGGACGCCTACCTGTGCAACCTGGTGTAGGGAACCTGCTTTGGCAGGGGGGTTGGTCTCGACGATCTCTAGAGGTCTCTTCCAACCCCTACAATTCTGTGACTCTGTGACTTCATTCAGTCTTCATATGCTTCCTGTGCTTCAATTTGCTTTCCCAAAACAGATCCCAACATTAAAATCACTTAGGGATGGGTGGAAACAGTCAGTTGAAGCTGAATTATCAGGTTAATTCAGCACTAAAAATAAAAATAAAGAATAAATAAAATGCATAAAAGTACAGGACCTAAGGGCTCAACCTAAGGGACTAGCTATGCTGGCAGATGACAGACTGAAAACAAGGTGAGAGAATGGAGTTTACTTGTGCAGGAACAAACAAGGAGGCAGAACAGAAGATACATGTTTTTTCTTACAAAGACTCTCCTACTAATTATTTTGGAGAAAAGTAACTAGTTACTCAGTAAAGTTACTTCTCAATATGAAAATATTTTCTAAGAACTGCTGCAATTTGAGATAAAAACTCTTATTCTTGCACCTGTATCAATGAGCAGAAGCCTTGTCTCCCTGTGGCAGGTAGGAACTCTGTTCTCTGTATGAACAGATGTCCAGGCCTTGCTGGCTTCAGGACATCTGAAGCAATACGACCTCCTGCTCCACAGTTCTCTCAATCGTGTATCTCAAGGGAAAAATGTGGATGAGCACCTCACAGGTGACTGTTCTGCTAGGCAGATTTGCTTTTATCACAAATCTCTCTGTCTCTTGGTAAGTACTCCTTTGGGTATTTGACTTAGACTGGGTTAATGTCTCACACAGGATGTGGCTTCTTGTGTTCTCCTTTTTTTGTCTTGTCAGAAGATGAAGGAGAAGATGGAAGAAGGCAAGGGGGTGCGGAGGGAAAGAGAAAGAGGCAAAAAGAAAGATCAAGCAAAAGTATCATTTCATCGAGAGCACAATATCAGATTGTATTCCCTGAAGCAAGGAGAGCAAAAGATGAGAAATCAGAGTGCTGAACTGCAAATGAAAATTCATCTCTCAAAGGCAGAAGATACCCTATCTCAGACACTATCATTGTTTCTCCTGTGATTCCCCAGCCTGTTAACTGAACATTCCCTGATCCTGCTGATGCATTTTGGGCCTTTAACTAGTTATAGAATACAAATCAGCATCTTCAACGCAACTATAAATCTTATTCTATAAAAGCAATTGTGTCAGATTTTTTCCCCTGTGCTAAGCTAGCAAGACTATTCCCAAGTATAAAGATAGACCCATTCCCTCCAGCATCCAAAGCAATTGGTTTGCCATTTGTCTGAACACCTCCTCTGTGGCAACTCCAGTTATCTGTTGCAAGCACACTGCTTCTGGATTCCTCACTGAAAATGGCCAGTGAAGCATACACACACCACTAGATGGAAATTTCCACTTAACACATATTATGTTTTCTGAGCAGAAAGCATCCCTGTATATTTTTTGAGATCATCTTGCTCCTATTTCAGTATCTATTTTGAGGATAGAACTTTTGCAGAAACTTCAAATAAATGCAATTATATTTCATTGAAATACATAGTTTCTCTGAGAAAGAAAACATCAATATACACACGTCCTCTGTGAATTCCAGTTTATCTGGCCGCCTTATGTGATTTTTTTTACCCAAAGGAGCTTTGATCCATATTATGATAAGGTCAAGATACTCATCTGCATGAGACAGCTTTGTTGGTAAATATATGTTTGTATATTCCAAATAAACATTGTCGACTGGTAGCCAGTTAGAGAGAGAAAGGGAAGAAACAGGAAGAAACGAGAAAAAATTGAAAGTACTTTCGTTTGCCAGAGGAGTGTTTGGGATAAATTCACAACAGTAAACGACCTATATCAGGAGTAATAAACAACAGTGAATGCCACACAGCAGTACATTGCAGTCACATGCTAAGCTAGCCACTTTGGCATCCTGTGCATATTGTACTTAATCTATAATATGACTCTTCAATATTTTTTATTTGTTACTGTGTCCTGGTAGAGATCTTGGAGACCAAGAAGGCCTGACGGATGCCTTCCATCTGCTCCCTGCTAAGCAGTCAACATTGAAAGCTGCATTTGCCAAAAGTTAGCACAAGGTTGTGTTCCTGGGACCTTTTCAGCAGAGGACAGTCACGCTCCAAAAAATGAGAGGTCAAAGCCTTGCACAGGCACAAAGGTGTCACATTTACTGAGATCTGCCGTTACAAAAATGCTTATGCAGCAGCAAAACCACAAAATCTTCCTTCAGCTGCCATCTTACGCTCAAATGTACAAGGTTAAAAAGGAGCTGATGTGGTTGGAGACCATACAAAGGGCCACAGGCTATTTTGCACTCCTTGGTGTACTACTGAAGTGCTCAGCTGCATATTTGGCATTAGTCCCAAGATTTTTAACAGATGTGCAGCAGCTCATTAAATTCAGATGGCCTAAGCTGTCAGTACCCTCAAACTTTTGTTTAAGTCATTCAAAGAATGCTGCCACTTGCACAAAAAGGACCTCCAGCTTGCCTGCAAATAATTGCTTTTCCAATTTTCTGCCCAGGATATCAATATAACGCAACACCATTTTCAGACCAGGTACCATACACTAGGGGCAGAAGTTGCTTGAAAGGTGGAATAGACAACCAAAATTCCAGCACCATCTGACTTTTAACTTGCTATCAGTGCAACTCAGCGGTTGCACGTGAATATTTGTGCATGATCTGGCTCATCTGTGTTCTTCATGCATGTTTTCTGTTTTTCTTATGCTTCACAACTGGATCCAAAGCAAACATGGCACTGAAAAATATTTTTTTTCAACCTTGGTGGACTTAATAGCAAATACTCTGGTTTTTTTTACATATTGAAACCTGACAAGCATTCCAACAGTGTAGAGAGGATTGGGCATCAATAGGAAATAGATTTTCATTGATGAACTAATATCAGTTTAAGCTTTTGGTACTTGAAGGTGATAATAATGCTGTTCCTACTCCCAGGCCTCACATCCCTTCTTTCATATACAGAGACACTTGCATAAAGGGTCATCTCTTAGACATGCTGTACATTTGGTCGATCGTTCTCTCTTAAGCTCCACTTTCTTCCTGGTTTGTGACCACACTGTGTCTAGAGTTATTTTTGTCATTTAATTTTTTTTTCCCCCAGTTATTACTGTATTTCTTGTCCCAGAACTGAACACAGTGGATGAGCCTGTATGCTGTCAAGCAATACAAAAAGCACTTGTAGGTGTTCACCAGCTCAAGATCTGCTGTAGACATTCCATCAGTTTAAGAGTAAAGATGACATTTTATAAATGATCATACATCATTGTATCATGCTGGAGTGCCTGGCTTTAGGAGTAGGCAAGACTGTGAAGCTATATAAACAAAACTTGTAGACAGAAATTGCTTGGCATACAAAATTTGCCGAATAGAAATCTGAATGGCACATTTATATAAATGGAATGAATATTTCAACACCCTGTAAAACTTTTATGAATCCCTGTATTTCTTTTCTGCTTCACTTCAACTTCATACCTTAATTCTCCACAACCATTTTTATTCCCTGTTAACTGCAGGGTACAGGATGAAGATGAAGACTTAGACGATATTAGCATAAAGAAACTCAGCCAGCAAGTCACTCTGATGTTTTCTTCGTATCATAGAAGATACAACCACAGTCTGACATGGATGTAGTGCCCATATAGCATTTCACATGGAGCAACATCAAAATGCTTTCAGCTAAAAAAATTTCAAGTTTCAGTTCCAGTCTCATTTGCTGCAAGACTGGACTACACTCTTCACAGCAGAGATTTGGTCATAATAATGGAAAAAAGCTCCTTGAAAACAGATAAGATAGTTATTTTGAAACGATGAGATCAAAGGCAGTTAGTTTTAATTTATATGTAAGTTTCAGTTTCCATGTTCATTGGTGTGGCCGGAAAAAGGTATCTTATGTAAGCAGCAGTCTGTCTAGCACAGGACATTGCAGGTCACTATGTAATGAATAGTTTATAATGTCTAAGTATAAAAGTAGGTGGAGAGACAGCATCTAAAAAAAGCTGAATGAGGCTTTTGGATCTACACACATAACAAGGACCTTAACGTGAAACCATGTGCACTGGTTTTAAGATCTGAGTGTACCCTCTGTTCAAGGAGATCATGACACCAAAACTTTTAAGACACACTTCACTCTTCATCCTGCTGAGACAAATTCAAAAAGTCTCCCAGACAGCTTTCCCACTTTTTATCTTACAACTCCTTTTCTGCACATATGAGTAGCAGATGAGGACTAAATCTAAATGGGCAGAGATAGAATTACAGTAGTGTCACATAATGGTAAGCTGTTCCACATCACATCAAATTGACTGGCCAAAATGCTGTTAATCCTCTGAGCTTCACAGTCAAAACATTGCCTGTCTCCAGAAGTCTCTGTGCATTACGAAGTCATATTTAACCTCAACAGAAAAAAACCCACAGTCACCTAAGGAACAAATATTGTAATTGTGTTTCCTCACTTGGGGACTTGTCTGCATTTGCGCCTGAGAGCAACACTGGGCCTTTTTCTTTACTTTCATACACTAACACGGTCATATGTCATACATTTGCACCACCCAGAGATAATTATGCGGCTGAAATGCCTAGAAGTGACAGTGTTTATAAACTGATCCCATGACAATGTGCTGCAGATGGTGTCTTAGAAGGTCATCACCATGTCTTGAAGAAAAGTACCATGCAAAAACTGTAAAGCAGCTGATAAGTTGTCTTGTCTCTGGAGTTATAAAGTCATCACTCTCAAACAGAAACACTAGCTGCACAAGCTTAGCACTTTCCTTAGATAACTTGCCTTAAAAAAATATAAATAAGTCATCACATGCAAAAACTACCCTTAAGGAGATGGCAGTGACATTCCTAAATAAAACCCTATACAAACCTCCATAGAAGCAGGAGGTGAGACATGAGATTTCATAGCATCATACAGTTTTACTCATCTCTGACAAAGCTTTACCAGCAGAGCTAGATGGGAGCACATCCCCATACAGAAAGACAAGCACTACTGCTGAAGAAAAAAAAAAAGAAATGACAGTTATATAATTCATATTACATTTTAACTCATCCCTTGCTGGATTCCTACTGAAGTATCGACACCACCAACAAAAGCTTCTTAAGAAAACGTGAGATAAGAGTTAGCCACTTACTATAAGAGCAGCCGAAGACCTCCACTCTCAGCCCTATGTGACCACCAAAATTCCACTTCAGAGGGATGAAGCGCAAGAAGCGAGCTTTCATGGAGTACAGGAGTTTGTGGTGAACCACACTGTCAGCATTGCTGTTTCCTGTGAAAACCTGGAAGGACAAAGAGCCTTGGTGAAACATTTAACATTAAATTTGAAATTAAGGACATAAACAACTTTGTAATTTTTATTCTAAAAAATTGCTTAGAATTATTTAAATTCATTGCTAAGTTTTCTTCTAAGTTCTGTGCATCTTTGCAGACAGTGAAGAGGGACATGAGAGCACACAAAGTGCCTCAGCAGGATTTGGGGGAACACATACAGGGTGTTATTAAAGTAAGTTGTGGAAGCAGACATTAAGGAAGATGTTGCACTATTTCCCCAAGCTCAAGATATTCTTCGTAATGCTCCACCAGCCTCTAACATAAATCACAGTCCCTTCAGTACAGTGAGAGACAGGGCTCAGATTAATGCTTGGTGCATTCAAGTTAGCAGAAAGAGATGGCCACGAGATACTGTGGTTGGTCAGAGACTGGCAAGAACAGGAAAGATGAACACCACTGCAAACTCAGGAAGAGATGAAAGCCTGAGTCAGGACACATGAGAGTTTTGACGGTTTGCACTCAAGAAAATTTAAGCTTGCAAACAGTAATAATTTTTTTCTTGCCTGTTTGATTAATTGCCTGAAACTACAAGACAGTAGTGGCCCTACTTAGAATTAACACTTAACAAAAGGAAACTTTCCATTTAAATTTTTACTCAAAGACAAATATTCACTTTTTTTTTTCCACAAATGTTATTAGAAATGGAATAAAACTTCTATTTTAAAGTTTTTGTTTTACTAGATCCAGTAAGACATTGTTTCATTAGATCTACATTCAACAAAAAATATTCTTGAGCATTTATAAGGCAGAATGCTTTGAAAATTTATCATGCTCTTTTCATTTTATCTTAAAAACTCTGACATAAGAAAAGAAATAAGAAACCCTTTTATGTACTAAGGTTTATTTTCTGGTCATGACCGCAAAAGATAGCACACACCTCCATTGCTAAAACATGTTTAGCAAGCGTCTTTTGTTGCTGGCATTGCTTTCCTGTGAAGATCAACAATCCTAGTGAAATCATCACCACAACACCAGGTACTTTAATGAAGGAAAGAGGAACATGTGATTTGTAAAATTATTTTTATTAGAAGCTTATGAGGCTGAAAAGGGTACATAATTCTGCTACCTAATCCCAATTGTCTCCCAAGTCATTTCCTATCTCTTATTTTTTCTATGCACCAGATCTTATTTTGGCAAGGATTACATTGCTGTTGGTTGCAGATGGTTGACAAACTTCTTTCATATTCAGCCGTATTACATGAGGGTTGCTCCAAAAGTAATGCCTCCTATTTTATTATGTTGGCCCACAACATCAGAGGTGGATGTTGGAGGTAGGCAGTAGAGGTTGAACCTTACCACAATAATCCATTACATTATGTAGCTGTGTGACACACTGCAGCAGAGGGGCAGTCTGACAAAATGGGGTCTGACATGAAAGTGTGTGTGAAGCAAAGGGAGGTCACTGAATTCCTCCACATGGAAAAAATGGCTCCCACTGACATTTGTCAACACTCATTAAACATTTATGGAGACCAAACAGTGGATGCAGCACAGTGAGGCAGAGGCAACAGTGACATGAAAGACAAGCCATATTCCAGACAGCCATGCACAGCTGTCACACCATGAAATGCAGTCTCTTGTTCATCACTGGTGAAACCATGTAGCTAATGGGTATGACTACGTTGTAAAAAAAAAAAACAAAAACATTTTGTGAGAGTTTGCTATTTCAAATCGTATTATTGTGAACTTCATATTTATTGTAGTTTTCACGCAAAAAAATAAGAGGCATTACTTTCAGAACAACAATGTATAATTAAAACTATCTGGATGGGGATACTTAATTAAATGTTAGCTACAAATGACAATTTAGCAACCATCAGATACATTTTGAAGAGTGCCACGAGTAGCACTTCAAGATGTTCAGGGCTTTCTGCTTTCTGTATGGAAGCCCGATTCAAATTCCAGCAGAGATAATTTCAGAGGGTTTTTTTTCCTGTATATTTCAAGTGAAATGATCTTGTTCTTCTCAGTAATGAAACTGTCAACAGAAAATAAGCCTCACAGTCGGAGCTGTGGCAGCACTCACATTTTTATTAAGATACTCGTGGATATACAAGGTGGTCGAAGGGAAGTGTTTGTATATTTAGAAAGCTCATCACCTGAAATCCTGTGATTATGTAAAAATTTCATCTTTCATAGGAAGGAAAAGGAGAATGGAAAAACACAAAAGTTGAAGCAAAAATTTTTGAGTCTTACTAGTTGTGGGAAAAAAAGCTGAAAATGTAATAACTAGAATGCAAGCGAGAGGTAAAAATTAAGAGACAAAAGAAAAAGCACATCTCAATACAGCAGTACCGTGAAACAATTTCAGAGTCTGTGATTTTTTTTCTTCTCATAATACTCTAATACACAGAGCTATCAGTAGAGCACACTGCATCATAGGCCACAAGGTAGTCATTTTCTGATATATACGAAAAAGAAACATTCTGGAAGACCATGAAATGCAAATGAAAAGCACCACACCTCTAGAAATATTTAGGTAATAGTAGCTAGGTGAGATTTGTGCATATGGCTGTGCTCTGAACAGTGCACACTGAACAGTGCACACATTTCTGCTTTTGAAGCCAGTGGGAATGCAGCCTGCTGACATGCACACACACACTTCATGCTGTTCAGAGGGCCCTCATGATCACTGGTGAATCAGGTCACAACTACTCCAAGCTGTTGCTAAGGAGGATCCTAACAGGACAAACCTGTAATGACATTTTTTTCCCCCCAGAGTTCACACAAACCAGACAATCAGATCCAACTCATGAGAGCATCATGGTGGCTCACAGCTGGTGTGCGCAGCACACTCCAGGCGCTGCTTTGTGTTATCAAAGGAATATCACCTTTGTGCCAGGTATAGAATCTTAGAATCATTAAGGCTGTAAAAGATCACTAAGACCATAACCAACAATTAACTCATCTCCTCCATGCCTGCTAATCATACCTCCCAGTGTCACATTTCTTGAATACCTCCAGGGACAGTGATGCCTTCACCTTTCTGGGCAGTTGTTCCAGTGCCCAACCACCCTTGCTGAGAATAAACACTCAACCTGAACTGCCTGAGCACAACTTAAAGTCATTACCTCTTGTTCTATCTGGTTTCCTGGGAAAAGAGGCAAAAATCTCATCTCCATACAACCTCCTTTCAGAGGTAGCACAGGGATATCTGTACCCTGCTGTCTATAACGAGGCTCAGGTATGCCCCCATAGGCCTAGTTCACGGGCATCCATGCCAAGATATTTCCTTCATAACACCTCCAGAAAGAGCCAGAGTAGTGAACCTCAGGACTGCAACATAGTCAGAACCCAATCTGCTGTGCAACTCCTTAACTACCCTTCTCACACTGAAACTGAGCTGGTAATAACAAACCTTTCATAAAAAAACCAAGATGTCCTTGTAGTGGTGTTTCTCAAACTTCTCAGTGAAACTTGGGGAAAAAAAAATAATCCACATCAACCTGCACCGTTGATATAGTTTTGCATGCAGCCAGAAGAACACTGCTTGTGGCTAACCACAGGGCATTGCTGCGCACGCCTTCAGGATTGTTTTGATTTTCACTTTCAATTCCCACTGCTCTACAGATTATCTTCTGATGTTTTGTGGACCACCTGTGGGCTGGAGACCATTGATTGAATAACACCAATTGCTTCAGATAGTCACTTGAAAACTCAGATCCACAGCTGACAGGGAAATGATCCATCCATTAAAGAAGATGAAACAAGGATGTAGCATCAGATTTCTTAGCCCTAGTGGTTCAAATATTGATTAACAGTAAACTTACCAGTAAGAATGACAGAAATGCTTATTCAGAAACAGGCTCTATAACAACCTGTTGCTGACAGGGATTTATTCACAGGAACAAAATGGCAAACTGGCACAGGCAACGAAGCACTCATATGGAGTTTCCCAAATGATGCAGATGCTCTGGGAAGGAATATAACACTGAAATCTGCGGCTTCTCAAAAGCCCTGTAAACTTAGCAGACTGAGAATTTACCTGGGATATTCTGGTTCTGGAATTATATGAGGCTTACAAATAAGAAAACTCCATTAGCACCAAATATTGCTACCAGATTCCTGAAGGCACTGTGTAGCCTTTTCCTTAGCGCTAGCAGCTGTAAGGTTAACAGCTTGCCATGAGCTGGGCTTCACCTTGGACTAAGTTTGTTTTATGGTGCCTGGTTGCATGGTGCCCCACTGTGACCCAGGCTGTGGCAGAACAGTAATATTTTATGTGTTTTTTATGAGTCAGCAGAGGCAGGGCCCACTTGCATGAAGAGGTGACATAGTAACAGCTGCTGTGGTTTGGAGCAGGGTCTAGCCAGGCCGTTGCTTGCTTATGAGTTATATCGAAGGGGAATAAAAGAGAATTCCAATTTAGTTTTGTATTAGGAATGAAAAAAAAACACATTAAAAATGAAGATTTCAAAAGACGTTCTAGTTTAAAAATCACTGGTAATGCCTAGAACGTAGATGTGCAACTCTCACAGGAAAAACAGAATCAATGCAAATGAGTTTTTTTTATACAACATTTCCATTCAAAGAGATCTCAAAAGCTACTTATACGCACCTCAAGAAAATGTCACGCAACTGTGATGAACTGCAACAGCTGTTTAATAACCTTGCAAACATTTATTTCTCTACTTGATATATTAATTCAGATCTATACCAGATCATACCAGTCAAGCATATGATGTGCTCAACTTCAGATTGCACTTTGACAAAACTCTCTTAGACTTGTTTACAGGTGAAGACAGACATGGAACTTTGGTGCAAGAAAATTTTCTGCTCATGAAAGCCCAATCAATTCAAAAAATAGCATCAGACTCTGGACTTCATCTCAGTCTCCCTGTACACAAACTCTGCACACCAAACAGCAACTTATTTACAGACCTGCAGAAGGTGGCTCCCATAATGATTCTGCTGAATATATTTTGCTCTTCCACTTTGTTAGGCAGGTAACGGGATGGGTTCAAAATCCGTATGCGAGCAGCAACATAGGCACTATCAGCCCTGAATGGTGATCAGGCAGACTTGAGGTTAACTACTTTCTAGGGAAGATAATTTTAGGATGCATTGAGTACTCTGCCAAAGTTGCTCTGATGAACAGAGCTGAGGAAAAGAAACCCAGCAAAATAGATTAGAAATGTGCAGAGGGCACATAACACAGATGTTGGCAATTTACAACATTTCAATCTTCACTGAAAGAGAATACAGATACAGAAAAGAGTACTCCACCTTCAAATCTCACCCATGAAATCATGGTATGTTTCCTCCTCTGTCTAAAGAAATGAGGACAAGCGCACACTTAATTCAAGGTATCCAGTAGCTTAGTGAAGGAACCAAAGTGGAATAAAAAGCAGCCAAGCTTGTCATAAATCCCAGAACTGCAACACTTAATGTAAAACAATGCCATTCTCCACTTTAAAATTTCTTTCTAGAGTGGGAAAGATCACAACCTGGAAGGAGTTAGCACTGAGATACAGAACGTTCTGTATTCCACTCCTTGCAAGACTTCCTCCAATACTTGTACAAGAAAACATGAATTTTCAATAAGAAACAAAGAAATTTGAAGCATGAAGGAGAAAACATTGCCTTACTTTCTACATATTCTACGCTGAAATAAGCTCTGAGTCACAGACAGCTGTCATATTTGTAAGAGGCAACAGCATTTCAATTCTGCTCAAATCAGTGCTTACCGTGATGCAACTGTGATACTACTGAGCATGGGAATTAAATTCAGTTTTTTGCAGAACCTGAAACCAAGTTATGGTAAGAGTTGTTCATCTCTACCTGTATGCATGGGAAAAGGCTGAATGGTACAATGACAAGGACAAAAAAAAAAAAAAAAAAAAACAAGCCACAATGCACCATATGGAAACTCAGCAGCTGATTTTAATGTGATGCTACTATTTTCACAAAACAATAATATTGCATCAGTGCCTGCTAGCAACACCTAGGGCCTGGATGGGTTTTTGGTAGATATTTTGACTTTTTATGGCAGTTAAAATCAAGAATTCCATTAGGTTTCAACTGCACAATAAAAGCAACTGTTGGTTTTGGCAAGACTGAAGACTTTCATTTTCACACCTCAGTCTCTTAAGAGCATAGACACAGATGTAAGAAAAAAGAGAAAAGAATGTGAAAGTAAAAAAAAATAATATTCAAAGTCAAGATGCATTTGTATATTTCACCTTTTCTACATACCATGCATTTCAACAGTGAAAAATGTTGCTTTACTAATGTAATGGAAAAAGCCCTGCCCATCGAGCCAGAGCTGTTAGTACCTATATCAATCATGATAAACTGCACTGAAATGGCTTTCCTGTTGTCTCAATCACCCTGTGTCCAAGCTGGGAGCCACTAAAAGATCTAAACTCATTTGGAAAGCGAGTTAAAGCAGCTCTCCAGAATGGAGTTCTTAAAAAGACCTGGCCCCAGGATGTTGCTCTCCTTCAGTCTAAAAAATTATTTCGCTATTAGAGGGGGCCATACAATAAGGAAAAGCAAAAGACAACAAAAAATGGTTGCATGACTCTAGAGACCTGCATTCTTGTTTTTTTGCAATCAACTACAAAGCAGACATTTGGCATGCGCAATATAACCCTATATATTTTATTTCATCTTTTCCTCCTAAAGAGACAACTTTTCTTTCAGAAAACCCAACACAATCTCTAAAACAGAAGTAAAAGTTTGCCTACTTTGCAAAGGCAGTAGAAGCTTTTTTCATTGGTTTGAGGTTTCAGGCTGAGCCCACAAGAACCATCTGCCAGCATGGTCCAAAGGCTGGAGGCCAGAACAGGAATCAGGAGGGCTGGATGTGTCCTTTTATCACATTGCTCATCCCCAGGCATCACTTTCTACTTCACGTCTCTCTTTCCTGCTAATGCACCACTGTCTAAATGACAAACAAGATTCATAACACCAGCCTAAAGCCTTTCACATCTTCATAAAGAACAGCCTACATTCTACTTATATTTTCTTTTCTTCTTTCCAAATAGCACCTCTCTTTTTCTCTTCAAAACACTTGCTCTTGACACGGACCTCAGAAGCAACATCCCCAGGCACATTGTCTAAGCTGCTACTGGGGAGGGACATGGGGGAAAAAAATAAGGGACACCTGTCAAAACTATCTTCCCATCACAGAATAGCTGAAGAAATGACAGTGGTCGGGGGAAAAGAAGATACAATGAAGTTCATACTACTTCATCCTGCAGAAGTGGGAGGGCTATTTGCCTCCAATCTGCTGAACCATTATGCTGAGCACCCTTCTCTCTGGTTAGTTACTTTCCAAATATAGGAACAAATACTGCTAGCAATATCATTAGTCTCTGATGACTGCCCAGAACAAACCATACTTATATTAAGGATGCTGTTTGTTATCCTTGTACTAAGAATGAGCAGAACTGCTCAAAGATTTTTCCAATTAAGTTATATTATTGGAATTAAAACTATTATCTAAAATTAAAACTATTAATAAATGAACATCAATTTTTAAATGGCAAATACTTCATAATAGAAAATATTTTAAAACAATCTTTAAAGAGTATCCATTGACATAATATATCATTTTTCTCCCAGAGGTCTGTATCAAAACAGAAAACACCCATTTAGTGATGGTGACATTAAAAACATGAAGCTTCATATGTCTGTTCAGGATAATAAAACCTTTCTACTTAGACCAAATAAAATGAAAAAAAAATATTGCAAAACTTTTGTGGATTTTATTTGCTTGCTTTTGCTTTACTTTACCCCTAGAAAATTCTAATTGGTTTTACTTTCCTAGTAGTCAGCAGTACCTAACAAAATGTTGGATTTCTAAGCTGGAATGGACAGTATGATTTTAAATGTTGAACTACTCACATTGTTTAGGTACCAAAATAAATTTTATTTACTAAATAGTTTTTTTCTCCTGATGGTGGTGGCTTTGTTTTGTTGCCTTTTTTTTTTTTTTTTTAATAACTTAGTAAACAAAACAGAGAAAGGAACGGATCCAGGTATTTGGTCATAAATATCCATGCTATTTAACTGTTTCCATCTGACATGGTATAGTTTTTGTTGGTGTCAATAAGCCACAGACCATTCCCAACAGGCAGCTGGGAACTTCAGGATTACAATGTTGTTTCTTTACATTTCTGTTTACTTCTGCAGACATAGCCCAAATACCTTATCCAACTTGAAGCTGGGCAGTCTGCCCTTTTTCAGTGT